GCCTGGTTTCATGTTTTGCGTCAGGGAAGTACGTACTGGCAGTCTTGATGGACGCAGTTCTTTTGCACCTCACGAAATTCATCGCATATATATCAGCATCAGATACATACATAAATGCATGTGCTCACGTCGTACTGTACTGTATGCCTTTGAATGTTTGAAACAATCGTCGGTCAAATAACAGTAATAGACAGATAAGATTTACACTCTCTTGCAGAAGACAGAACGTCGGGACAATCAGCAGCCTTTCACATGTGCGTCTATATATGGATCATTCTTACATACAAAAAGGGTTTAGATAGCCGTGGTTTTTTCCGCCACTTCAGCCAACATATCGGAGTAAGACGCCGTCGTTCCCGAGCACAAACCCTTGGTTGTCGCCAATGAACCTGCAACATCCAAACACGCCCATTGTAAAATGCTGGCAGAGTTTCAGAAGTGAAACAGACTAAGACCCTGAACAAGTAAAATATTAATGGTATCTCCTGTGGAATTCAGGCGATCCGAGTGCTTACTTTACGGAGTAGAGGTTCCCGGGGATGTTATCTGCGGCCCTGTCGCGCACCCAGGTCTTGCCGCCGTTAGTTGTTTTCAGCAAGACGCCGCTCCCACCGGCAGCCCACGCCTCATCCTGTAAAATGGAACCGCGGATCAGCTAGTTGTTCAGTCTAACTTGGTATCCTGTAAACAGAGTATGGTTTCTTTCAGTTAGTGTTACCTTTGAGCGGTAGCCCACGTCCAGGATTCCAAACCCCCGGCTTTGCACCGACGCTTCCTCAAAGTCCTCAACTATCTGGAAATGGATCCTAGTTAGAATATGTTAATGAGTGCTTAAAGGAACTGCATTATGCTGTATTTGCCCACTTTGTTAGCTAAACTGATCAAATCCAAACAGAAATAGCTCTCACCCCTGTTCCTTTACTGAGGAAGAGTCCACCACCACGCACGAGGAGCCAGAGCCCACCATCTGCTCTCCAACCCATGTTCTGTATCCGCCGCGCCACAGCCCTGTTGTGCGGTTGCCAATATAGCTGTGATTGCAGGTGTACATAGACAATTCAGAACAAAACCCCAGGCAGACAATTCATTTTAAAGCGACACTACAAAGTACTTATTAGCTTAATATCATCGAACCTGCCCAGGCTCCCATGTCAAGAAGAAGTTGCCGCGGCTGGAGACAGCGACGTAGCTGCCGTCAGGCGAGCGGTTCACCGTGTTGAAGGTGCCGGTGTAGTAACTCGCACCGCTAATGCCGCTTGAAACTGTTCTGCACCGCAGAGAAAAACGACAGAGCAAACAATGTCATGCCTTGCCTTGATCACCCAACAGCACATGACAGGAAGCAGGAAGTAACCCCAGACAGAATGCAACACCCTACTACTGTCTCTAAAGCTGATTAGCCAACAGCAAAAATTGTGTAACATGTGTATACCATTGCAAACAACCTTAACTGAATAAGCAGAACAAAATTGTAAGTTTTTCATGATGAATTCAACTAGACACACATGCTTGGCCAGCTTGTTCCCCTACCTGTTGAGGGTGGCCGAGACAGTCTCCTGCACGGCGGCCTTCCAGTTGTAGCCGCGGTTGGAGGTCACGTAGATGGCTCCCTCGTCGGTCACCATCTCCGCGCTCTGCTCCCCGGTAGCCTGGATGTACACCTGCCACATAATCAACCATCAGTAAAGTCCCTACCTCTGTTCCCTCAATTTTGTAAGTATATGCAATTGCAATTCAGAAAGGTGTGTTGCATTTCTGAATTCATCAGTTAGTTACCATGTCGCCTGGGAGCTGGGCGCTGAGCGGGATCCTCTCCCAGCTGTCGCCGGCGTCCTTGGTGTGCAGCAGGATGGCCGGCTTGCCGACGATCCACCCCTCCTTGCCGCTGAAGCTGACGGAGTTGAACCGGTAGTTGAAGTCCTCGTCCTCCGCCGACGGGATGGAGCGCGGGAACCAGGTGCGGCCGCCGTCCTTGGTCTCCAGGATCGTCTGCCTCGTCCCCAGGAGGAATCCTACGACGGAGCGGAGGATTGTCGGTCGGCATGGTGTTTCTTTGGCCACTCAACTCAATCCATGGCCTGACCTGAATAGAGAAGGTTCTTTTCTTACCGTGGGAGGGGTCGTCGGGGACGAAGGCGATGTCGAGCAGGACGACGCCGGGGTCGATGGGGAGCCCGACGCGCTCCCACTCGGAGAGGTCCTCGGCGCGCGCCGCGGGGATACTGGGAAGCAGCAGCGGCGCGGCGGCGGCGGCCACGGCCGCGGTGGCGGCGTCGGCAATGAGGCCGCGGCGGGACGTGGTGGTGGAGGAGTCGGCCTGGCACGCGCGGGAGACGAGGAGGCGGCCCCGGCGGCGGGTGGGGAGGAGGAGGTGGAGCGCGGCGGTGGCGGTGGCCATGGCGGGAACGGGGAGAAGGTGCGCTGCTGCTGCCTGTGGCTGGGCCTTCCGCGCGCCTGCTGCCCCTTATCCAACCTCTCTTCACCACGAACTGCTGCATGCGTCTACGTGGCCGAACCATATGCTTTCTCCGTTATGCTAAAGTATTTATTTATCCTCTGCCCAGACATGTGAGCCCCGTTTCCTCTTCTCTTTCGGCACTTTTTTTTTTTTTCTAAGAAATCTTTCGGTTTACATGAATCTTTCTCCAATACTCCTATATGCTAAAGGATAGGGATTTTATAGAGAGAAAAAATTCTTTGGGGCTTTTGGTTTGTGGGAATGAATTCCAATTCCTATGTAGTATAGGAAGTAGTCCTTCACATCTCAATGGAAAAAAATTTAGCCTACACTCAGTTAAAAATAACTAGAAGCAGAGAGGGCTTCTGAAATTATTCGTAATCTCGCAGCAGTTAGACCTATGAATAGCGATGACATGAAAAATTTAGGCATGTCCTAGAAACCATATGTAATACTCTTATGCCTACTACAGAGGCCAAAGATGAAGAGGGGTCGGAGATCAGGGACATGGTAGAACCTTTAATGATGGAAGGTACTATCTCGAGTTCTTCCGGTAATACCGTCTCGAAGGCTGATGCGGAGAAGCCCAAGAGACAACGGAAACGAAAAATATATCCTACTTCGGCGGTTCGTAGAAGTGCTAGGGTTAAGCTTAAGAAAAAATTTCATGATGATCTATGAAAGAAATCTTTTGGAATAGCTGAGGTCTAGCTGACTTGGCTAAAAGAAAGTTCTTAGCAGAAACAACGATAGAGCAAAAACTAGATTTCATTGCTCTACTTGTTGAAACAGGGCGAGATCATTTCACCTCATAGTTCATTGCAACGTTGTCCAGAGGCATTGATTTTGATTGGCACTGTTTACCTCCTAGAGGAAGATCCGGTGGGATATTGCTGGGGGTTAGGTGTGAATCGCTTGAGGTAATTAATGTGGTCAGGGGGACTTTGCGGTTAAGTTTCGGGTGAGGTCGAAGTTGGATGGCTTCTGATGGTCTCTGGTAGCTGTATATGGGGCAGCACAACCCGAACTTAAACCAGATTTTTTAGCGGATTTGTGTGGATGAAACTCTTCCAATCCTAGTCGGTGGGGATTTTAATATAATTAGGAGGAGAGATGAAAAGAATAATGACAACTTTAATGGACGTTGGGCCATGATGTTTGACATGATTATCGAGAGTCTTAGTTTGAGAGAGATTGAGCTCACAGGCAGGCAGTTTACTTGCGCCAATACGTTGCCCGTTCCAACTTATGAGAAGTTGGATCGGCTGCTTGCTAGAGTGGAATGGGAACAAAAATACCCATTAGTGTGGGTGCATGCGATGCAGAGGGCAATCTCTGACCACACACCATTACTAGTTGGTTCGGGAAACACAACCCATATTGGGAATAAGAACGCTTTCTCTTTCGATCTAGGGTGGTTCAAGAAAGAGAACTTCATGAAGATCATTGCACGAGAATGGGCGAAGCCTGTTAATGGACGCTCAAGTATTGATAGATGGAAAAACAAAATTAGACATCTAAAACAATTCTTGCGGGGTTGGGACAAAAATGAGAGTGGGATTTACAAACAAGAAAAAGAGCGACTCACCCAGTTAATAGAGGCTCTAGATTTAAAAGCAGAAGTAAACATTCTTAATGCAGCCGAGCAGAGTTCAAAATCCGAAGCCGAGCAACGCTTACGCGCTCTTCTTAGATAAGGGGAGCTCAAATGGGCATTGCGTGTTAACGTGCTTAAGGTTGTCCAAGGGGATGACAATACACAATCCTTTCACATGATTGCGAATGGGAAACACAGGAAGAATAAAATAATACAGCTTGAACAGGACGAAGGAAACATTGTGGGTCATGAGAATCTGAAAGCTTATATCTCTGATTATTATAAACAACTTTTCGGGCCTTCGGAAGAGAGCACAGTGTCCCTTAATGAGTCTGATATTGGAGATATCCATCAGCTCCGCTCGGAGGAGAATGATATTCTCTCTGCGCCGTTTACTGAGAAAGAGGTTCTAGACGCGATATCACAAATGAAACCGAATAAGGCACCGGGACCGGATGGGTTTCCCGCGGAATTCTATAGGAAATGTTGGCATATTATTAAGGATGATCTTATGCCTATGTTTCACGATCTTTTTAACGGTCATTTAGAATTGTTTTATTTTAACTTTGGCATGATTACGCTGTTGCCAAAAAAAGAAGAGGCAATTCGGATCGAGAAGTTCAGGCCAATATGTCTTCTCAATGTGAGTTTAAAAATATTCACGAAAGTGGGCACCAATAGATTGACACGGATTGCCCATTCGGTGGTGCAATCGAGCCAAACAGCTTTTATGCCTGGGAGACACATTCTTGAAGGGGTCGTCGTCCTGCATGAAATGCTGCATGAAATTTATTTGAAGAAGCTAGATGGGGTTATCTTCAAAGTGGATTTTGAGAAGGCATATGATAAAGTTAAATGGTCTTTTATTCAGCAGGCAATGCGCATGAAAGGTTTTAATGAGGCATGGCGGAACCAACTGGGTTCTCTAGTCCAAAAAGGTAGTGTCAGAATCAAGGTCAACGATGATATCGGTCACTTCTTTCAGACGCGCAAGGGATTGAGACAAGGGGATTCAATGTCTCCTCTCCTATTTAATATAGTGGCTGATATGTTGACCATTCTTATAGGCAGGGCCAAGGAGAACGGTCAAGGGGATGGACTTGCCCCTCATCTGGTAGATGGGGAGTCTCCATTCTACAGTATGCCGATGACAATATCCTCTTCATGGAATTTGTTGTTGCAAAAGCGCGGAATATGAAACTCATATTTTGTCTCTTCGAACAATTGTATGGTTTAAAAATAAACTTTCGCAAAAGCGAATTGTTCTGTTTTGGTAAGGCCAAAGAAGAGCAAGACACATAAAGACAATTGTTTGGGTGTGAATTAGGTTCGTTGCCCTTCTGTTATTTTCGCATACCAATTCACCATCTTAAGCTATCTAATAAAGAATGGAAGTGCATCTAAGATTGAATTGAAAAAAAGCTTAGGTGCTGGAAGGGAAAAGTAATGTCGTATGGAGGTCGGCTAGTGCTGATCAACTCAGTACTTACTAGTATGCCAATGTTCCTACTATCTTTCTTCGAGATACTGAAAGGGGTGCGGAAGAGACTTGATTTCTTTTGATCTCGCTTCTTCTGGCAGTCGGATGAGGCCAAGAAGAAATACCGTCTTGCACGATGGGATATTCTTTGTCGACCCAAGGAACATGGGGGCTCAGTATTGAAAACTTGGAGATTAAGAATAAATGTCTTGTGAGTAAATGGATTTACAGGTTAGAGACTGAACCGGAGGGTATGCGGGCACAGATACTACACAACAAATATCTACATTCGAAAACACTAGCCCAGGTAACTGCGAGACCAACTGACTCGCCATTCTGGAAGGGACTCATGCGAACGAAATATTTGTTCTTTCGTAGGGTCAAATTCTTGATTGGCAACGGGATGTCAACAAGATTTTAGGAGGATACATGGTTAGGGGAGACGCCACTAGCCATACAATACCCAACCCTATATAACATTGTGCATCGTAAGGAGGATTACGTAGGCACGGTATTTTAATCGATTTCCTTGAATATTCAGTTCAGACGAGCGTTAGTTGGAGAGTGATGGAATGCCTGGATGCACTTGGTACGGAGATTGATAGATGTTCAGTTATCCGACCAACCCGATTTGATGCAATGGAAGTTAGCTAGAAATAGGGTGTTTACGGTGAAATCTTTTTACATGGATCTAATAAATTCTGGCCCAATCTCGAGATCGTTGCATATTTGGAAGGTTAAGGTTCCCTTGCGTATTAAAATTTTTATGTGGTTTGTTCACAAGCAAGTGATCCTCACCAAAGATAACTTACTAATGAGGTGGTGGGTAGGTAGTTCACATTGTTGTTTTTGTGATCATGATGAAATAATACAACACTTGTTCATAGAGTGCCCACTCATGAAATTGCTTTGGAGAACGATCCATATAGCCTTTAACATTACCCCTCCGGTTAACATTGAATCATTATTTGGGACATGGTTAATTGGGGTTGATCATATGACTGCGGATCTTATTTGGATTGGAATATGTGCGCTTTTATGGGCTATATGGAACTGCAGGAATGACATGATTTTTAAGAGACAACATATTTTAACTTTTTTGCAGGTCATTTTCAGAGCTACCGCATGGATCCATAGGTGGTCCTTACTCACTCCTACGGACTCCAGGGAGCCATTGGTTACTGTGTGCAACCAGTAGGAGATGGTAGCACGGGCTATATTCAACCGTTTTAGATGGCGGTCGATAACAGGGTAAGAGTCTAGAGAGCCTGTCCTTTTATTTGTCATACCGGTTGTAGTTTTCAGCATTCACATTTCTTTTCCCTTTTGCTCCGCTTGCGAGCTGTAATACTTGTATGACCTTGTGATACTTCGAGACTTTAATAAGATGGATGCATGCATCGTTCCGATGCAGAGGCCGGGGGCATGCCTCTTTTTCCAAAAAAAAAATGTGAATCAAATGGAATATTTTTTTCCCATAAGAAATGAGATGCATGTCATTTTACTTCCTATATTTTTCCTACTCTCGTGATATTTTTATCATATGAACCAAAGGAGGCCTTGTTTCTTTAACGAAGAAGAAGATATTGCTTATTAATTGCGAGAAAACACAATAGATACATCACATGCCATGCCTTCTCAACTCATGTCGAGTGAACACTGAAAAAATATTGTCGAAGAAAAGAATCCATGACTGCTATGAGAAACAAGAAAACAGGAACAATGGCGAACCCAGGCATTAAGATTTGTCGGGATGAAAGACGGCACTTGAGGTATCCTGCTCCACCTCCGAAGAGCCGAGACAGTCGCCCTAGCTTTGCCCCAATGGTGTTTTTTTTTTGGAACGAAGGCTCCAGAGGAGCC